GCAATATCGCTGCAATATTGCTACAACAAATATTGTGCAATGTTACAGCATTGTTGCTGCAACTTTTGTGCTGTAAAAGCAAAACATAAGAAGTGGAAAATATAACATATAAAATTACTAAAAAAATTACTAAACAACTAAAAAATATAAAATATAAAACATAAAACGTTATCTAAAAGTTCGACATTCGATTATCTTTATATGTCCGCAATATTGCAAACACTTAAATTTTTATTATATTTTCTGAATCTTTAATTTGTAATAAAAAATACGATGAATTTGAATTTATTTCTTCCTTGGCAATATTAGATTTGCCAAAATCTTGACTTTTAGAAATTCCTAAATAAAAAATTTTTATTATCTGAATTGTGTGGGATCATTTCAAGAATTTTTCTTTCTATTGATTGTATGTGGAGTACAAAACACCGGATCTGAAATGAAGAGAGAGAGAGAGAGAGAGAGAGAGAGAGAGAGAGAGAGAGAGAGAGAGGGAGGATGAAAAGAAGATAAAAACATTTCTGATCCGGTGTCAGTTGCTGACGGATGGGTCCATGAGTTTCTTCAAGGTCTCACAAATCTGCAACAAATCCATAGTCCTTTCATCTCATTCGTTTCAACTCAGTGTAAATGTACATGGATTATATATTCTTAAACTATTAGATTCTTTCCAATTTCTGTTAATTTCCTATAATGCATGTATTTTATTCCAAACCAGAAAAAGTAAACTAAATTATTTATATTAATTCTTTTCTTACAATAAGTTACGATATTTTATATTTATAATTTGAAATATTAACGCATTGAATTGATAATAGAGTATCACAAATCTGAAATATCTACTTACATTTAATAATTTTTTAATAGATTCAGTGATTATTATTTAAAAAAAAAATCAATTATTTTGGAAGTTGCTTTTCAGAAAAAATATTCTAAATATGCTTTTATTTCTTTTATTTTTGGGTATTGTAAAAATAAATATAATAGAATATATAGAAACTATTTTCAATATATTAATATACTTAAATATATGTATGTAGATAATTATATCTTCAATAATATAATTGATACACTCATATTTAGGATCTTGAGATAATTTTTCAGATCGGTAATAGATCGCTCGAGCAAAGAACATGACTGTATTTCGAAGATCGGTATAATATCAAACGAAGCAGAGTCACGATCTTCGGATCGTTTCGCCAGATTGTGCTAGCAGTCCTATAGGTCCCTTGAAGACATATCGTCTTCTGCCTTATCGACACAAAGTTAACGCGAATCGAACCAGCGAAAGGCCCCATGGGCCTGTTTTTCATTCGAGTCCGTCTCGTTCACATCGAAACCGGTTTTCTACAGGGAGATTTGAATTTCGCAGCAAAGAACGAATCCTCTTTCTCCTCTGGCCGAGAGCTAAATGCCTTAAATCAATTCACAAGAAATACTGAACATTTCCTTATCACATTTTAGAGTATATTATTAACTATATTAATATAGTAGTTATAGTTACTATATTATTATTTTCATGTTTTTTTTCTCTTTGTTTTTATTGAAATTGTTGTATCTCAATAATTATAAGACTTTAATTTATATAGAAGTAATTCTAAAAATTTTTTAATCTTTAAATTATAAAATGAATTTTTGTCTACTCTCTCATCTACTTGTCAGATTAAATTGTTAGGACAAAATATAATGCATACAAAATTTTTACATTTAATATTCTATTAAATTTTCTTATTACATTATAATTCTATTTCAACTATTTATGCTTTTTCTGATAAAAGAGTAATGTTTTAGTTTATTTTTATAAAAATTTTTAAATACATTATATTACTACGTAAATATTAATTTTTTAAAATAATTTTTACTATTTAATTTGGTCAATATAATAATTTTCAGATTTGATATTTAAATCACAAGCATTATTTGCAAGTTATTTAATATCATATGTGTTAAAAAAAATAGTACTTCACGAATTGAAATTAAAAAACACATTATTAATTTTTATTTAAAAAATTTGTTTCTTTCCCATTAATACTAATTAAACGCAACATAATATTAATTTTATAAATTTACACCTAACAATATAAATATAATATAGCATGTTTTTATAGCATGTTACATAACAGTTACTACATTACTGATCGTAAAATTATAATATTAATGTTATATTTACTTCCAGTTGGTGTTTACTGGGTAATATTAAATCAACAATGTTCGTTGATTCTCTCACCGTTTTCGCAACGGTAATGAAGCAAACGAAGTTACTTGTTGATAGTGAGCGCATTTAGTAGTAGGGATCCACTCATAGTGGTCGTCGGCCCCAGTCAGGGCCTTCCTCCCTCCGTGTTGCTCGTGGAGTCTTTTCCCCGTTTACATCACATTGAGTGGGGAAGAACAGGCTCATTGCACGAGAAGTGGGGGAGTTAGGCCCAGAAGAAGATAAGAAGCGAAGGAAGAAGAGAAAAGAGAGATGATAGAGTGAGAAAGTTCTCTCACAACGACGATGTTGCATTGTTTACGACAGGGTAAGCCCGCTGCGGCACAGCCATGTTGGATTCCTTTCGCGGCTGTAGATCAAAATTATAAGGCGGAACGCGCCTTGGAACGTCCGCTCGAGATCCTCTTGAGTGTGCCACGAATCTCCCTCTTTCGCTTTTCTCTCTTTTCGTCGCTCCGACGAAAAAGGGAGCAAGGGCGCTTCGGGAATGCCACGAAGATCGATCGCTTCGTTTGTCCTTTCTTTTTCGACCGTTCAGCAAACGAGAGCGCAAACCTTCTTCAGCCTCGTGTCTCTCTTCTGCTGCTTTGGCTGCCTTGCGAGCAGCCATTCATTGGGTAGATAGGTCAGGTGACATGTATCGCGTGTCGCGCTCATCGAGCAGCTCAATGGCTGCTTGTCAGTGGATGAACGTTCGCCAGCAACAAGTGACTTGAATGTGGATATAGGAAAGATGCCTGTTCTTTAAACAGATGTTTCGAGTTTGGTTGGAAGGGATATTGATCCAATAATATACGTATGCACACTTAGAAGACTTAAATCAAATTGTATACATTGCATGCGTGCAACGCGTTTAATTATGTCTTTAATTATCTCATTTATGTTGAAAATTTTTAGTATTTTCCTTGCCCTAATTGATATAATGCTATGAGATCCATGCATTATTTAACAATTACAAGTAGAAATTAGATTAGATAAAAATAAATCAAATAAAGAATTTTTTTCCATTTTTAATCGAATCGCAAAGATGCTTAATAATATTATTTATATATTCATTTATTGACAATAATTTAATAATTGTTTGTTTCTAAATATATATGTATTAACGGATTACATTAAATATATCTTATACAAATAATTTAATTCACTTTCACATCTTATTTTATTAATCTTTTATAATATTTTAATACATATTTCAAGAGACATAATAGTGCCTCACATACAAGATTATTACATAATATTGGATCAGTGCAAAAGTTCGTGTTCGACTTATTATTCAAAGTTCAAACAACTGCAATTTTGTGAAAAATAAACAAAATTTAAATTTATATAAATTTAATAATAATTTAAATTTAATAAAAAGGTTTTTGTAGTAAAGCTGGAAATTTCTACTTTCGAATGGTTACTATATTTTTTGAGTTTATGTAAGTTTTATAATTTTTACAATTTTTTATAATTTTTATAAAAAGCTATGAGCTGAAAAAATGAAAAATTTTCTTTTCACTTTGTAGGTCTGTAGCGTGCTCAAAAAAATTTGAGCAAATTCTCGACTCTCGTAAAAGTTTTCCTTACAAAATTGTTTTTTAAAAATGTTCCTATGATTTTTTGTTTTAATGAGTTGTTGCAAATTAAATAAAATGAATATTTTGACTTTGATTGCTCATAACTCTATCAAAACTATCACAATTTAAAAAAATAGATTCTTAAATTCTCTCATCAGATAGAGTAAGATTTAGATTTTATTTTATTTTTAACAAAAATAGCAGCTGTTTGAAGTTTGAATAATAAATCGGGCACGAACTTTTGCACTGATCCAATATAACTGTAATATTTACAAATATAATTACTTAAAAATTTTTTTGCTTGAATCTTTGAAATCTTATTACTTCTTTTACGAATTTTTGACAATTGCAATTAATTTAAATAAAACTGTATGTTTTCTGTTAAATTTTGCTTTACGACGTTCATTTCCCGTTTGAAGTTTCATCGAATAGATCAGCAAAGCGCATAATAAACCGCAGTGAATCGTGGAGGTCGAGAGAGCTGCCTAAGGTGAGTCTAGGGCCGCAGTCATTTTTCCACAGCCTCGTGTAGAGCGGTCCAGTCGGAGACCAGTCCTCTCCTCTCTCTTTCCTTCCTACCGTCTATCTCCTTCCACTCCATTCTGCAGAAATCCTGGACCCCGGTGTGCCCGTGGTGCCTTCCACCTAACTACCTGAGGACTAGGTTTCGCAGCTCTTACCTTTTGGAGTTACGGCGAAGGCGCTTTAGGAGAAATAAGGCCCAGAAGGTGGGTCTCAGGCAACAATGACGCCCAGTTGAACGCGACGGCTCGACACTCTTCGCATGTCCAAAAGTGCATAGGCTGTTTAAATAAAGTTTACACTCGTAAAAAAATTGTGCCAAGTTAATATATTAATCCGGATTAATCGACAGATCATATTCGTGTGTGAATCTGATCTCTCTGTCTCCTGCAGTGTTAAAAATTTAATTTGCAGTGTATTTATTCGAAATTTTTCGAGCACTTTAATTCTCAAGCGTTAGTGTAGAAATTCTTGGATAGATTAATAATTTTATAGTGCAATGTGATGCAAATTTGAGTGCCTTTAACGTTGAAAAAATTACGGTGAAAGATGTGTGAGTGCGGTGACGAGTGCTCCGAGGATACGAAGACGCGGGAACGCCAAGATGTTCTGTTTCGTTAGATCCGCAAAAACGTTAGATTAAAAATCTAAGGGCAAGCTTAATAAGGAAAATTCTGAACGAGATTGAGAATCGAATAGCTGAAATGGCTACCCTCGGTCTCTCCAAAGTCTTCATATTGGACAAGTATTTTACGGAGCTACAGAAGTTCTGGGAGACCGAGAAAAAACTTCAAGGTAGTTGCAAAGCTGTGACAACATCTTCTTGTTAATTTTAACAATCTGGAACATTTTTCTTGATTATTAAAACTTGTAATCCATAAATTTACTTTGTTTTATTCTTAGAATTTATACATTTTCTTAGATTCTCAACATGTATTTATCGCATGTTTGTGTCCTAAAATCTATACAATACTTTCTCTCTTTTATATGTAATATATATATTTATTATTAAATAAATATCACTATATCGTTTCCATTTTGAAATTTACGATTGAAATTTGCGTATTGAAATACGTCATTCATCTAGAATTTTCTAATATTTTAAAATTTTGTAATATTTTTAATTGTAAAATTTTATATTAATACGTACAAATATGAAATTAGTGTATTTTATTATTCCTGAATTTATGAAATCTTTGAATTTAGTGATACATGATTTTTAAGTCCAAAACAAAATTGCGTAACATCTGAATCTTGGTTTCTTAAAACATTATATAATACTTTTAAAAGAGTTATTATATACACATATATGTTAACATATTTGAGTTTAATATACAATTAATAAATACAAAAAGCTTGATAAATAAAACAAAAAAAGCTTTTCTCAGGAACAAAAAGTACTTTTACTGTTCAGTTTTTGCGGCAGTAATTAAAATTTGTATCTTCCTATTTTATAAATACTATTTTATAAATATTCAGTTAATAGATTATTTTATTTAATAATGAAGATTTATGAGATAAACCGTTAGATTTAACTATTCAGGCAGGTTCCAAAGCACTTGGTACGACCCTGCTATGCTGAAAATGAAGAGTTGTGGTGGTCATTATAAAAGTTGCCTACGCTTTACAGTTAAAGTAATACAATTTTTTTACATCTTCGCGGCTGTTCTTCCTTGATTACCTTCCAGTATTCTTAACTGTATCCGGAGATTAAAGTCTTTCAAAAAAATTTATATGATGCTCAGAATAAGAAATTAATATCACATACCACATTTATATTAATTGTCATAAACGATTATATTTATGTGTTTTTATTGCCAATATGTCCTTCAATTTTGCTCATTTTTTTGTAATCAGTAAAATGTGTGTGTGTTTAGATACTCAATGTTAATTTTATCAAATAAATAGAAAAAGTAAATAAAATTCCATATTTAAAATTATTTAAAAAAATTTTAAATATTAAATTTTTAATTTAATTATTTAAATAAACGGAACTTAAATATTGAATAACTAACTTAAATAATGATTTTAAGAGTTTCTATTATTATTTTTGCAAATCATTTGTCAATATGTAGTTAATAAATAAATTATATATCTTTTCAAACATTCTGTGTAATTCTAAATAACTTGTTAAGCGTATTTCGTTATTTCTGAACAGACTGTTTTATAAATTGTTTTATAAACGGTTGGACATCAATGATGATCTTTACGTTGCAAATGCATATGTTAATTTTCTTTTTTAGACTGTCAGATTAAATATAAATAGAAGAAGAGTTTTGAAAAAATAGGAGGAGCCACAACCAAGATAACTTTTTTACTCGATTCTTTCCCAACTCGGAAGCGTCATTATTCTGCAGTCTAAGACATCCTTACAGCTATTGTTTCATTATAGCGCGTCCTTCACAATTACGGGCTTCTTGAGTAATTAGGTGGAAGGAGTGGGAAGATGAGATATAATTAAAATACCTTCTACTTCTTTGTCATTATTAACTTCTTCGAGAAGAAAAATTGCATAAAGCTGATAAATTATTTAATTATATATACACCCTATATAATATGATTTTAATTATTAATTGTAAAAATGTTATTCTCATTAAAAAAGCATAAAGGATGTTTAGAGTATATTTTTATTATATAAATTTCAAATTTATTTTAAAAATGTACAGTTTCAAAATATTTATGTCTTACATTGTGCGCACATTAATTAATATTATAAGTTATTATCTTTAAAAAGTAATATTATATCATAAAATTCGTTGATTTTTTTCTTTTGTTAGATTTTCTCTTTTATTTAAATAAATTTATTTAAAAGCTGTGAATAGTGAAAGAAACCATTTTATTTAACAATTTTGTAAAAATTAAAAAATCTTGGATTTTTATAGGCCATTGCCCTGCATAAATCCCAGTGAGAAAATATTTTTTTTCTTCATTATTATCAATCGTAAACATGCTTGTTTTTCCACATTATAATGTTTACAAAACCATAATGGTTCCAAAAACTGGAAACTGCCATTATTTTATGAACTATTACGTTTATAAATAATTATGTTATTGATAATAAAACGAAGAAAAAGATATTTTCTCGCTGGGATTTATGCAGGGCAATGGCCTAAACTGATACATACGTCCAGCTGCAACTGCTCCCATGTGCTGTAAGCGCACATGCGTGAAAAGCACGAAGTATAAACGATGTGTATATAGATCATACTATGTTACAATGTGCATTTGTGTGTGCGTATTTATTAAAGATTTTATGAAGTAATCAAAGTAGTACAAAGAATGTACTCAGTTAATTAATTTAAAAAAACTAATTCTCACTTAATAATTTCTTATGCTTTTTTAAAATGTAATCATTAAAATTTTTATCATGAGATATATCAAAGTATATTGGAAAACTCTTTATAGGATATTTTGAAATAAGAAAAGCATGGATCTGACTATGAATAAATATTATTATAAAAAGATTATTGTAAAAAATCAACAAATATAAAAATATATTTTCATTACTAGTATATAATTAAATATAACTCGATAATTAAATATAACTCGATAATTAAATATAACTCGATAAAATCCATCAACAGAGAAATTAAATGCGGACTGGACATACGCAGATATAGATACACTTTACAATGTATATTCTAGATAGGACTTCTTGTTTTGATATTGCTCAAGATTGTTACGTTTATTGCCACTTGGTAAAGTTTACATTTGCAAAGTTCCACGGCGAACTAGCATCGAAAGAAATTACCATTTTATCAAGACTCGACATATGGATCTGACAGTCACTTATTTATTCCGTGTAACATCCTTTATTTATTCTGTGGAAAAGTGTTATTTTGAAAATTCTTTATATTTTCCGATAATCTTTGCTTGTCTTTTGCAGTGCTTGAGAATGTAACTTATATTAATGTATTTTTTATATGTACATACAACTGCAATTGAATTTTTGCAAAAAATAATCTTCTTGGGTGATTGTTACTGTTGTACTATAATTATCAAAAAATCCACACATTAATTTTTATTTGATCTGTAATAATTTTAATAAAATAGCAGATAAAATATTTTATTCTGAAATTTGTTTCATGTAATCTTTAATGTGCTGGAAAAAATAAACCAAAATGAAATTTACTTTCGTACTTAATTTAATTAAAATTTTATTATGAAAATAGCGACGAACTATTGCGCAAATTTTTTGGGAAAAAGTATCCATTGACCAAATTTGTAAATGGATCACGCGTCAAGATAAGCCTTCACGTCTAATTACGAATTAAGTTTCGACATACGTGCGGGCATCGCCATTAATTTCACCGCGATTCGGTAATCTGCGCGCACAAGAGAGGAATGCAGAGTACCTGCCACGATTAATTCACCCCTTTCGTTATCTCTTTGCCAGTGCCAAAGCATAACAGTATACTTAAAGTTACTTTCTTTTTCTTTATTCTATCTCTATTCCTTTAAGAGTTTCTAGCTCTCCCTTTCCAGTTTTTTATCTCTATTATATTTTAGAATAATTTCTGAATATCTGTTTTAATTTTATAAATCATTGCACAGGCATGTTATAAAGTTTCTCTATTAAATTTATTTATTAATTTCTTTTAATTTTATTAATTTTATTAAT